AGGGAACTACTACACCACGTGAGGTCCCTCCTAACACCATCTGGGAGGGAGTTACTACACTACGTTTTTGCTGTTCAACACCTACAATAATCTATATGTTCACTGTATGTTCCTTCACCTTTCTCTAATGAAGGCTTTTGTTAAACCACCAATGTATTTAATAAGTCATTTATGTCCAATGTATATTTTCAGCCTTCGGGCTGCAGAACTTTTTTCAATAAACCGTCAATTATTATTATTATTATTATTATTATTATTATTATTATTATTATAGGTCGTGGGATTACTGTATATAGTTTCCTGTGTGTCGAGATAGTGCTTCTTTCGAGGAGGATCCTTTGCTTAAGGCACCCACACACTATCAAATATGTTTGTCAAACATGATGTTTGATCATACAATTTGAGAGTGTGTTGGCAATTTTGAAGGTATGACCAATTGAAGAAGATTATACAAGTTTGATATTTTCTCGTCCAACATGACGTTTGTCAAGCATATTGGATAGTGTGTATCAATGTATGATCAAACATGCTCAGTCGAGTAGCAGTAGCCATGGCGAGCGCACGGGACTCCCCTGAGTTTTGGAGAGAGTTTTTTTTAACTTTATAAGTAGTTTCCATCATTGTTATGGCCCTACATGTCTCCATTATGATGTAACCAAGAATGAGCAGAAATGGCAGTTGTAAACTTTAAGTCCTCAAAAGACTGGCCCGTTGCTAGTAACCGCAGTGTACTAGAGTCTTTGTATGGCATCTCTCAAAATAGTGTCTTTTTTTTATGTATGGTGTCACTTTCTCCAACAGTTCGACGAGTAGTTTCCTTGTCCATCCTCATTTTTTTCATAAGCTTGAGGCTTGAGGAGATGATACCACTAGTTCCTATAATAGGGCGTCGTGAGAGAACTTGGGTCTTTTTCTGTGCCATTTCTTCGTCCATAATTTTCTTTTTCGTTTTCTCTTTGAAGTCTCTGTTTCAAGAGCAAGTATAATAGTAATACTGGCTGCCTCCTTACTCATGCTGTCACCCAGTGTTGAGGTGGCGCGTACCAGACACCAACTGAAGTTTGATCATTTTAGTTGTAAAGTGTTTGTTTGTTGTTGTTGTTGTTTTTGCTTTTTACGGGCATTAGCCCACCCGGGCACAGGTCTTTTTTAATGACCCACATCAATGCCTGGGGGGGCGAAAATATAATAAAATAATAACAATAATTATGATGATGATGATGATGACCTTAATAATAATAATAATAATAATAATAATAATAATAATAATAATAATAATAATAATAATAATAATAATAATAATAATAATAATAATAAAAATAAATATATACATATATAAATAGCAATCTTAATTTAAAAATAAAAAATAAATAATAATAATAATAATAATAATAATAATACACACACACACACACAATAATAATAATAATAATAATAATAATACAATAATAATAATAATAATAATAATAATAATAATAATAATAATAATAACAATAATAATAATAATAATACACAATAAAGTTATTTCATAACAAATAAAGGCCCCCCTGACAGAGACACGATGATCCTCCCCATACTGGCCAGATATTTTGTAAATAATATTGATTATGTGTTAAAGGAATATCCTTCCTTCCTTGGGCTTTAGTAAGCCCCTTTATAATATTTATACTGTATATACTTGTCACACTTGCCAGATGCTTTTGGTGTCATTGTACAGGGGTACCTAGTGACAGCACTAGGATCCCGCTTCCTCTATCAAGGAATAAACAATTGAAATTGAAATTGAATTGAAATAAATAAATACAAAAATAAAAATAAAACATCAAGAGTGAGAAATGATATACAATATGTATGTTGTGTTGTCAATAGTAAGAAAAACAATTGAGACCCTGCAATTGTGTGTAAATGAGGCAGAAAGTCAGATCAGCAACCTGGAACTTGGTCACAATTTTTGTGATGCCATATGGCGACGTATGATGCATGATCAAACATCATGTTTGACAAACATATTTGATAGTGTGTGGGCGCCTTTAGCGATTTTTTTTTAATTTAACAAGCATTACTGTACATTGCACTGGACCAATCGAGGCTGGCAGATCATTACCACAGTACTACATTCTGTTGTTTAATAATATAGAAAATCAATCGTTCCTCTTGCTGTACCTTCGTTTATTACGCATTTCTTTGTTTTAGCTTTGAATTGCTTTATAACGTAACTGGTTTCGAGATGGGCTGGTAATTTGTTCAAATCTGTTATAACAGTAAAAACGAAAATGCTTTTCACTTACTGAAAACACCATGGACCATAAAATTATGTTCACTCCCACTAGTATCCTGCTGGTTTGTATCTCTAATCCATACACAGTTTTTTTGTTTGATACTCTGGATACAGTCCATTAAAAATCCTGTAAGGTTGATTTAGCCTCATTTGCTTCACTCTGTCCATCATACTTACCAAGTTCATCGATTGAAGAACTTCGTGACCAACGTGATCTCTTGTTCTCATGTCAAGAATGAAACTCACCGCCTTGTTTTGAACAATATGTAGCATGAATTTTAGCTTCTGTGTTAGGGCAGAGTACCATGATGAGCAGGAGTAGTCCAAGTGACATTGTATGAGCGCCAAGCAAATGGATCCTACGGGCATCAGGTAAGAGGCATTTATATAGATAAATTTTATTTTGGCATTACTTTTTAAAATCTATTATCTACGAGTAATTCACCAGAAAAATAAGAGTTGAAAATTAGTCCAAGGTATTTCATTGAGATTACGGTTAACATGGGTTCGTTCCCACATACTGCAATGAATTCGTTTACCTTTTTTATTTTTATTTCTATTCAAGTAATATTACTTCAGTCTTCCCAAGATGTAGGGATAATTTATCGCCTATGAGCCACTGTTTGCATGACCCCAGTTCAGATGATAACTCGTTAGCTGTATCATTTGGATCTTTACCTGACACTAAACGAGCACTGTCATCGGCATACAGTAAACCTTACAATTAACAATAGTGGACACGTTGTTTACATAACACAGGAAGATAAAAGGTCCTAGTATAGTCCCTTGTGGGATTTCACAGGCTATTGGTATGCCTGTTGACTTAGTGATTAATTACAACAACAATTTGTTTCCTGTTGCTAAGATATGATTTAAACCAGTCACCAGACCCAATGTCAAGAGCCTGCAGTTTTTACATAATAAGAGTATATCATGATCATTTGTGTCGAAGGCTTTTTGAAAATATAACGTTACCATGCCTGTGTAATTTCCCTGGCTATTTGGGATCTGTTATAGTAAGTGAGATGAATCAGGCTGGTGTCAGTTGAGTGAGAGCCCCTAAAACCTGATTGGCAGATATACAAAATATTAAACACCCGGAGATATCTTTCCACCTAAACATACACTGTTCTCTGTTGAATTTTAGATACAATGCATGTTAACTGGCCTGTAATTACCTACATCAGATCTGTCACCTTTCTTATATATAGGCTTTACTCTGGCAAACTTATACTCATCTGGTACAGTATTGGTACTAATGGAGAGATTAATTAAAGGTGGCGTCCCTCAAAAACCTAGCTGGGATGCTGTCAATGCCTGTGTTCCTGTAGGGGCCGAGTCTATCTAACTCCCTTAGAACAAAGTCCTTTGTCAACCGCGTGGATTGATACCTATCTTTCTGTAATGGGGTTTCAAAGCTTCTGATCCCACACGGTAATTATCTGAGGCTCTCGGCACTTTATTAACTAAAGATGAGCGAGTTGATCTCTGTCGCTGATTGATTCCAATATCTCACGAGTCATTCAGGGTTCAGTTCTAGCTATATTCTTATCTCCTTTACCAGTGCTACATCAAGAATACCAGTAGTAGTAGTTCTGAACTTCTCCGAGGCCTCATTAACCTTCAAGTGAGTTAATTTCGATTGTTGTAGCAATAAAAACAAAACAATAAAGGAAATTAGATCGTATATGGTCAATTTTGCTCTGTTTTATTTAAAACATCGTTTACCATCATTAGAGAGTTAAATTATATCTAAAGTAGGTTGGTTACAATATGTTATATATGAAGTTATCAATTTATATGTACACTATTATGATTATCTGCTTGCATATTGTTTTACTTGGCAAATGCAAATTACAATAAAACAAGAGTTCCCAAAATGGATAGTTGTGACTTCTATCAGTTAGCTATTACTTCCCTCAAAGAGTGTGTTCATGATAAAAGTAAACAGAAGTGAGCATGAAGAAAAACTGTTTCGGTAGTAATTAGCAAACACAAATCGTTCCTGGTTACACTTAACACGCAACTACTGTTCAAATCGACCCAGATCCAGCCTTTACCGTAACGGTCAACATTACTCTACACCAGGATCAGTGGCTTCGCTTCCAGTTGTCATGTCACACTGACCCTACCTTGCTAGATAGTAAATCCAAAGATCAATTATAAATGATAAATCATTTACAGAAATGCAAATACAAATACGTACTATTTGACCTCGACGCTTTTATATATCTCAGGCATTCCACGTTTTTAAAACGACCAGAAACCGAAATTTGGGCGTCTTTGCTTTTACACAAACCTAACCAAATTTATTCGATTAGGTTTGGTTAGATTAGGTTAGGGGTGTTGCACCTCTGGTGCTGCCTGCTGTAACTCTGGTGCTTGCTGCTGTACCCAGCTGGCGAATCACTGGTGCTGGCTGCAGTACCCAGCTGCTGTAACTCTGGTGCTGGCTGCTGTACCCAGCTGTTGTAACTCTGATACTGGCTGCTGTACCCAGCTGTTGTGACTCTGGCCATGTCTCATGTACCCAGCTACTGTAACTCTGGTGCTGGCTGCTGTAACTCTGGTGCTGGTTGCTGTACCCCCCAGCTGCTGTAACTCTGGTCCTGCCTACTGTACTCAGCTGCCGAAACTTTGGCTCTCACTGCTGTACCCAGCTACTGTAACTATGACCTTCGCTGCTGTACCCAGCTACTGTAACTCTGGTCCCGGCTGTTGATCACAGCTGCTGGAACTCTGGTGCTGGCTGTTGTAACTCTGGTGCTGGTTGGCTGTACCCAGCTGTTGTAACTCTGGTGTTGGCTGTTGTACCCAGCTGCTGTAACTCTGGTGCTGGCTGTTGTAACTCTGGTGCTGGCTGCTGTACCCAGCTGCTGTACCTGGTGCTGGCTGCTGTACCAGCTGCTGCAACACTGGTCCTGCTGTTGTAACTTGTGCTGGCTGCTGTACCCAGCTGTTGTAACTTGGTCCGGCTGTACCCAGCTGCTGTAACTCTGGTGCTGGCTGTTGTAACTCTGGTGCTGGCTGCTGTACCCAGCTGCTGTAATCCTGGTGCTGGCTGCTGTACCCAGCTGCTGTAACTCTGGACCTTGCTGTTGTATCTCTGGTGCTGGCTGCTGTACCCAGCTGCTGCAACTCTGGTGCTGGCTGCTGTACCCAGCTGCTGTAACACTGGTCCTGGCTGTTGTAACTCTGGTGCTGGCTGCTGTACCCAGCTGCTGTAACTCTGGTGCTGGCTGCTGTACCCAGCTGCTGTAACTCTGGTCCTGGCTGCTGTACCCAGCTGCTGTAACTCTGGTGCTGGCTGTTGTAACTCTGGTGCTGGCTGCTGTACCCAGCTGTTGTAACTCTGGTGCTGGCTGCTGTACCCAGCTGTTGTAACTCTGGTGCTGGCTGCTGTACCCAGCTGTTGTAACTCTGGTCCTGGCACCACAGCTGCTGTAACTCTGGACCTGGCTGTTGTAACTCTGGTGCTGGCTGCTGTACCCAGCTGTTGTAACTCTGGTCCTGGCTGCTGTACCCAGCTGCTGTAACTCTGGTGCTGGCTGTTGTAACTCTGGTGCTGGCTGCTGTACCCAGCTGCTGTAACTCTGGTGCTGGCTGCTTCACTGTAACACTGGTCCTGGCTGTTGTAACTCTGGTGCTGCTGCCAGCCTGTTTAACTCTGGTGCTGGCTGCTGTACCCAGCTGTTGTAACTCTGGTGCTGGCTGCTGTACCCAGCTGTTGTAACTCTGGTCCTGGCTGCTGTACCCAGCTGCTGTAACTCTGGTGCTGGCTGTTGTAACTCTGGTGCTGGCTGCTGTACCCAGCTGCTGTAACTCTGGTGCTGGCTGCTGTACCCAGCTAACAACAGTCCTGGCTGTTGTAACTCTGGTGCTGGCTGCTGTACCCAGCTGTGTAACTTGGCTGGCTGCTGTACCCAGCTGTTGTAACTCTGGTGCTGGCTGCTGTACCCAGCTGTTGTAACTCTGGTCCTGGCTGCTGCACCCAGCTGCTGTAACTCTGGACCTGGCTGTTGTGGCGGCTGCTGTACCCAGCTGTTGTAACTTGGTCCTGGCTGCTGTACCAGCTGCTGTAACTCTGGTGCTGGCTGTTGTAACTCTGGTGCTGGCTGCTGTACCCATCTGCTGTAACTCTGGTCCTGGCTCGTACCCAGCTGCTGTAACCGGTGCTGGCAATGGTGCTGGCTGCTGTACCCAGCTGCTGTAACACTGGCCCTGGCTGTTGTAACTCTGGTTGGCTGCTGTACCAGCTGTTGTAACTCTGGTCCTGGCTGCTGTACCCAGCTGCTGTAACTCTGGTGCTGGCTGTTGTAACTCTGGTGCTGGCTGCTGTACCCAGCTGCTGTAACTCTGGTGCTGGCTGCTGTACCCAGCTGTTGTAACTCTGGTCCTGGCTGCTGTACCCAGCTGCTGTAACTGGTGCTGGTTGTTGTAACTCTGGTGCTGGCTGCTGTACCCAGCTGTTGTAACTCTGGTGCTGGCGCGTCTTAACTCTGGTGCTGTACCCAGCTGCTGTAACTCTGACCTGGCTGTTGTAATCCTGGTGCTGGCTGCTGTACCCAGCTGCTGAACTCTGGTGCTGGTGTACCCAGCTGTTATAACTTGGTCCTGGCTGCAGCCAGCTGCTGAACCTGACCTGGCTGTAGGTGCTGGCTGCAGTACCCAGCTGTTGTAACTTGTGCTGGCTGCTGACCAGCTGCTGTAACTCTGGACCCCATTCTGGTGCTCTGACCCAGCTGCTGCAACTCTGGGTGCTGCCTGCTGTACCCAGCTGCTGTAACACTGGTCCTGGCTGTTGTAACTCTGGTGCTGGCTGCTGTACCCAGCTGTTGTAACTCTGGTCCTGGCTGCTGTACCCGGCTGCTGCAACTCTGGTGCTGGCTGCTGAACCCAGCTGTTGTAACTCTGGTGCTGGCTGCTGTACCCACCTGCTGCAACTCTGGTGCTGGCTGCTGAACCCAGCTGTTGTAACTCTGGTGCTGGCTGCTGTACCCAGCTGCTGTATCTCTGGTGCTGGCTGCTGTACCCAGCTGCTGTAACTCTGGTGCTGGCTGTTGTAACTCTGGTGCTGGCTGCTGTACCAAGCTGCTGCAACTCTGGTGCTGGCTGCTGTACCCAGCTGCTGTAACTCTGGTGCTGGCTGTTGTAATCTGGTGCTGGCTGCTGTACCCAGCTGCTGTAACTCTGGTGCTGGCTGTTGTAACTCTGGTGTTGGCTGCTGTACCCAGCTGCTGCAACTTGTGCGGCTGCTACCCAGCTGTTGTAACTCTGGTGTTGGCTACTGTACCCAGCTGCTGTAACTCTGGTCCTGGCTGTTGTAACTCTGGTGCTGGCTGCTGTACCCAGCTGCTGTAACACTGGTCCGGCTGTTGTAACTCTGGTGCTGGCTGCTGTATCCAGCTGCTGCAACTCTGGTGCTGGCTGCTGTACCCAGCTGTTGTAACTCTGGTCCTGGCTGTAACTCTGGTGCTGGCTGCTGTACCCAGCTGTTGTAACTCTGGTGCTGGCTGCTGTACCCGCTGCTGCAACTCTGGTGCTGGCTGCTGTACCCAGCTGTTGTAACTCTGGTCCTGGCTGCTGCAACTCTGGTGCTGCTGCGTACCCAGCTGCTGTAACACTGGTCCGGCTGTTGTAATTGGTGCGGCTGCTGTCCAGCTGTTGTAACTCTGGTGCTGGCTGCTGTACCCAGCTGCTGCAACTCTGGTGCTGGGTGCTGTACCCAGCTGTTGTAACTCTGGTCCTGGCTGCTGTAACTCTGATGCTGGCTGATGTACCCAGCTGCTGTAACACTGGTGCTGGCTGCTGTATCCAGCTGTTGTAACTCTGGTCCTGGCTGTTGTAACTCTGGTGCTGGCTGCTGTACCCAGCCACAACTCTGGTCCTGGCTGCTGTACCCAGCTGTTGTGACTCTGGTGCTGGCTTCTGTACCCAGCTGTTGTAACTCTGGTGCTGGCTGCTGTACCCAGCTGCTGCAACTCTGGTGCTTGGTGCTGTACCCAGCTGTTGTAACTCTGGTCCTGGCTGCTGTAACTCTGGTGCTGGCTGCTGTACCCAGCTGTTGTAACTCTGGTGCTGGCTGCTGTATCCAGCTGTTGTAACTCTGGTCCTGGCTGTTGTAACTCTGGTGCTGGCTGCTGTACCCAGCGTTGTAACTCTTGGTCCTGGCTGCTGTACCCAGCTGTTGTGACTCTGGTGCTGGCTTGTACCCAGTTGTTGTAACTTGTGCTGGCTGCTGTACCCAGCTGTTGTGACTCTGGTCCTGGCTGCTGTACCCAGCTGTTGTGACTCTGGTGCTGGCTTCTGTACCCAGTTGTTGTAACTCTGGTGCTGGCTGCTGTACCCAGCTGCTGCAACTCTGGTCCTGGCTGCTGTACCCAGCTGTTGTGACTCTGGTGCTGGCTTGTACCCAGCTGTTGTAAATCTGGTGCTGGCTGCTGTACCCAGCTGTTGTAACTCTGGTGCTGGAGGCTGTACCCAGCTGTTGTAACTCTGGTGCTGGAGGCTGTGCCCAGCTGTTGTAACTCTGGTGCTGGCTGTTGTAACCTGTGCTGGCTCGTACCCAGCTGCTGTAACTCAGGAGCTGGCTGCTGTGCCCAGCTGTTGTAACTCGGGTACTGGCTGCTGTACCCAGCTGTTTTAACTCTGGTGCTTGCTGTTGTAACTCTGGTGCTGGCTGCTGTACCCAGCTGCTGTAACTCTGGTGCTGGCTGCTGTAAACAGCTGTTGTAACTCTGGTGCTGGCTGTTGTAACTCGTGCTGGCTGCTGTACCCAGCTGTTGTAACTCTGGTGCTGGCTGCTGTAAACAGCTGTTGTAACTCTGGTGCTGGCTGCTGTACCCAGCTGCTGTAGTTCTGGTGCTGGCTGTTGTATCTCTATTGCTGGCTGCTGTACCCAGCTGCTGTAGCTCTGTGATGCTGCTGTACCCAGCTCCTGCAACTCTGGTCGCCAGCTCTGAACCTTCTGGCTGTGTAACTCTGGTGCTGGCTGCTGTACCCAGCTGGTGTAACCTGGTGCTGGCTGCTGTACCCAGCTGCTGCAACTCTGGTGCTGGCTGCTGTACCCAGCTGTTGTAACTCTGGTCCTGGCTGTTGTAACTTGTGCTGGCTGCTGTACCCAGCTGCTGCAACTGGTGCTGGCTGCTGTACCAGTTGTTGTAACTCTGGTGCTGGCTGCTGTACCCAGCTGCTGTAACTCTGGTGCTGGATGTTGTAACTCTGGTGCTGGCTGCTGTACCCAGCTATTGCAACTCTGGTGCTGGCTGCTGTACCCAGCTCCTGCAACTCTGGTGCTGGCTGCTGTGCCCAGCTGCTGTTACACTGGTCCTGGCTGTTGTAACTCTGGTGCTGGCTGCTGTACCCAGCTGTTGTAACTCTGGTGCTGCTGCTGCTGCACCCAGCTGCTGCAACTCTGGTGCTGGCTGCTGTACCCAGCTGTTGTAACTCTGGTCCTGGCTGTTGTAACTCTGGTGCTGGCTGCTGTACCAGCTGCTGCAACTCTGGTGCTGGCTGCTGTACCCAGTTGTTGTAACTCTGGTGTTGGCTGCTGTACCCAGCTGTTGTAACTTGGTGCTGGCTGCTGCACCCAGCTGCTGTAACTCTGGTCCTGGCTGTTGAACTTGGGCTGCGTACCCAGCTGCTGCAACTCTGGTGCTGGCTGCTGTACCAGTTGTTGTAACTCTGGTGTTGGCTGCTGTACCCAGCTGTTGTCCTGGTGCTGGCTGCTGCCCAGCTGCTGCAACTCTGGTGCTGGCTGCTGACCCAGCTGTTGTAACTCTGGTGCTGGCTGCTGTACCCAGCTGTTGTAACTCTGGTGCTGGCTTGTACCCAGCTTTGTAAATCTGTTGCTGGCTGCGGTACCAGCTGTTGTAACTCTGGTGCTGGCTGCTGTACCCAGCTGCTGTAACCTGGTGCTGGCTGATGTACCCACGTGCTGTTACTATAGTCCTGGTTGTTGTAATTCTGGTGCTGGCTGCTGTACCCAGCTGTTGTAACTCTGGCTGGCTGCTGTGCCCAGCTGTTATAACTCTGGTGCTGGCTGCTGTACCCAGCTGTTGTAACTCTGGTACTGGATGTTGTAACTCTGGTGCTGGCTGCTGTACCCAGCTGTTGTAACTCTGGTGCTGGCTGCTGTACCCAGCTGTTGTAACTGGTGCTGGCTGCTGTACCGCTGTTGTAACTCTGGTACTGGATGTTGTAACTTGGTGCTGGCTGCTGTACCCAGCTGTTGTAACTCTGGTGCTGGCTGCTGTACCCAGCTGCTGTAACTCTGGTGCTGGCTGCTGTACCCAGCTGTTGTAACTCTGGTGCTGGCTGCTGTACCCAGCTGTTGTAACTCTGGTACTGATGTTGTAACTCTGGTGCTGGCTGCTGTACCCAGCTGTTATAACTCTGGTGCTGGCTGCTGTACCCAGCTGTTGTAACCTGGTACTGGATGTTGTAACTCTGGTGCTGGCTGCTGTGACCCAGCTGTTGTAACCTTGTGCTGGCTGGCCCAGCTGTTATAACTTGTGCTGGCTGCTGCCCAGCTGCTGCAACTCTGGTGTTGCTGCTGTACCCAGCTGTTGTAACCTGGTTCTGCTGCTGCACCAGCTGTTGTAACTCTGGTGCTGGCTGCTGTGCCCAGCTGTTGTAACTCTGGTGCTGGCTGTTGTAACTCTGGTGCTGTCTGCTGTACCCAGCTGCTGCAACTCTGGTGCTGGCTGCTGCACCAGCTGTTGTAACCTGGTCCTGGCTGTTGTAACCTGGTGCTGGCTCCTGTACCCACCTGTTGTAACTCCGGTGCTGGCTGCTGTACCCAGCTGTTGTAACTCTGGTGCTGGCTGCTGTACCCAGCTGTGAACTCTGGTCCTGGCTGTTGTACCCAGCTGTTGCAACTCTGGTGCTGGCTGCTGTCCCGCTGCTGTAACTCTGGTGCTGGCTGCTGTACCCGGCTGTTGTAACTCTTGTGCTGGCTGCTGCACCCTTCTACTGTAACTCTGGTGCTGGCTGCAGTACCAAGCTGCTGCAACTCTGGTGCTGGCTGCTGTACTCAGCTACTGTACCTCTGGCCCTGGCTGCTGTACCCAGTTGCTGTAACTTTGGTCCTTCCTTCTGTACCCAGCTTCTGTAACTCTGGTGCTGGCCGCTATATCAAGCTGCTGTAACTCTGGTCCTAGCTGTTGTATCCACCTGCTGTAACTCTAGCCTTGGCTGCTGTATCCAGCTGCTGTAATTCTGGCTTTCACTGCTGTACCAAGCAGCTGTATCTCTGGCCTTGGTTGCTGTACCAAGCTGCTGTAATCCTGGCCCTGGCTGCTGTACCCAGCTGTTGCAACTATGGTGCTGTCTGCTGTTCCCAGTTGCTGTAACTCTGGTCCTGGCTGCTGTACCAAGCAGCTGTATCTCTGGCCCTGGCTGCTGTACCCAGTTGCTGTAACGCTGGCCCTGGCTGCTGTACCCTGCCATTGTAACTCTGGTGCTGGCTCCTGTACCCAGCTGCTGTAACTCTGGTCCTGGCTGTTGTACCCAGCTGCTGTAATCCTGGTACTGGCTGCTGTACCCAGCTTCTTCACCATTATAATCACATAACCTTCGCCTCGAGACAAAACAAACTCACACTCTCGCTACATGAAGTTTCATAACAAGAATCTTGTGGGAATATAAAAGCTGAGTTGACGACCCCAGAGCGTTGCTGCCAGGGCGAAGTTGTGGCTTGGAGGAAAATATCGTATCATAAGATGGGAGTAATCTGTTATATGACCAGTAGTATGGTAGTGATATTGTTATGTGTTCACACTCTGGAAAAAATAGATTTTGGCCACATTTAAAAACATTTTGAATACTAGGTAGTAGGCAGCTATCAAACAGAGAGGTATTACCGCCTGGGAAGATATTGGAAGTATAATGTGTTGTCTAATGGTGCCATATGGCATCACAAAAATTTTAACCAAGTCCCAGGTTGCTGATCTAACTTTCTGCCTCATTTACACACGCTTGCAGGGTCTCATTTGTTTCTCTTACTATTGACAACATAACATACATATATCATTTCAAACTCTTGATATTTTTTAATTCTTGTATTTATGGCTCTTTATTATTATTATTATTATTATTATTATTATTATTATTATTATTATTATTATTATTATTATTATTATTATTTATATATTTTTTATTTTGTTATTAATTATATTCCTATATTTATTATAATTATTATTATCATCATCATCATCATCATCATTATTATTATTATTTTATTATATTTTCGTCCCCCAGGCCTTGATGTGGGTCATTAAAACTGACCTGTGACCGGGTGGGCTAATACCCGTAAAAAAAAAAAGATTAAACAACAAAAATAAAAACATAAAAAAATACGTTATATGCAAACAATTTGGTGAAAATAATAATGGTATATACAAATAATTTAGTAAATTTTGAACCATCAATTTCTTTTGAATTTGGTAATTCAAGTCATAGGGTCAAAAGTTATTCCTATGAATATTAATTTACTAACTGACTGTGAAATATAATAACTGATATATTCCATTTGTCAAAGCAAGTTTCACAAAACAATTTAGACCAATCAGCTGATGGGTGGAGTCAGTATTCTCTGGAAGCTTCGTGCGATGTACAAAGTTAGGGAGGCGAAGTGATGTCATGTATGAAAGTAAAACTCTTATTAAGAAATTTCAAATTTGAATTCCTCTTTTCGAAAAATTACTCTAAAATAAGTCAGCGCAGATGTTGCAGAATTGTAATCGTCAGTAATCTACAGATGAAAAAAAAAATTCAGACGACTGTTCAAGGGAATGATTTTCAGATAATTCATACGCGCTTGATCCATCACACGCATACAAACTGTATTGTAAACTGACAGGTAAGTAGATACAATCGGTGACTGATATACCAGCTATTGTTGTAGGTAGTCGCCAGCTACCAAACAGGGAGGTACTTCCACCTGGGAAGATATTGGAAGCATAATGTGTTGTCTTATGGTGGACCCCAGGGCCGGATTCAGGAGTGGGCAAAGTGGGCAGCTGCCCAGGGGCCTCCACAATCTGGGGGCCTCCACATATTACAATATTTTATTTATTTGTTTATTCATTTGGATTATTTTTATTTCCATTCTTTAAAATTCATGTTTATCTATTCCATTACGTAAAACTATGTTCAGCAAGAAGCGTTCTTGTTTAAACTGGGGTCAATGAATTGTGACGAAATTGAAGCAGCTGCAGCAAAATTGGTTGCTGAGTACAAAAATGATTTGGATCAAACACTTGGAGTTGAACTTGTGCAGTTTACAGCATTCTTCATTCAATTTCTTGAAGACGAAGATGATGAGAAAGGGAGGGCACATTACCTTTACAAGCTGTTGATAGACAAGAAAGTTGTAGATACATTTCCAAATGTTGAAATAATGCTACGGATGTACTTGGTGCTCATGGTCACAAATTGTTCTGGAGAACGTTCTTTCAGTAAAATGAAGTTTATTAAAAAGAGACTTCGTACTACAATGTGTCATGATAGGCTCAGTCACCTGGCTTTCAAGAGTATCGAATATGACATCCTCAGAGAGATTGACTTCGAAAAGTTGATCAAAAACTTTGCAGCGGCCAGGTCACGTAAAGTGCCTGGTCTGTAAATAAAGGTAATGTTTATTTTATATTTCACAATTAATCAATGCTTGTGTTCAATATATCCATTATCCATGGTCGATGGCAGTTACTTTTATTAAAATTCTTGTTTTTTCCAACATGTTCTTACTTTTGTTATAATTTTATCAAATTCATTAAATTGTTTATTTGTTTTACTATTGGATGCAAAACATCAATTTTATTTATAGTTGAGTAAATAATTATTCTGAATCTCTCTGACCTTGGACTTAAAGAAGCCTATACATGCATTCTTGGACAGAACCATTATTTGAGTAGAGATTTATCTGATTAATAATGCAAAGAATCATCTCTCTGTAATAACTAATAATATATTCTTTTCTGTGAAGTCTCTTGAAATTTTTTGACATGTGCGGTAGTAGCTATATCAGGGCTGGTCGACTTGAAACCACATGAATGACTCCAGTCATGTCTCACTTTTGTGTGTGTGTGTGTGTGTGTTGGGAATTTGTACACTATCAATGAATATACAGTTAATAAAATTTCTAAATGTTCTAATTTGCTCAATATAACTGCATATGGCTTCAAAATTCTCCAAAGAAGTGTTAAAATTTCAAAATTTTCCCGGGGGGCTTACAGCGCCCCCCCCCCGAACTCCCACAAGTTTAGGCTCGCTTCAATCGCCACCCCACCCTCTTGGGTAGTTATAATGAGGGGGGCCTCCACAAAGAGGCTGCCCATGGGCCTCCACAGGTCTAAATCTGGCACTGGTGGACCCTGCTGTCATATGGCATCACAAAAATTGTGACCAAGTCACAGGTTGCTAATCTGACTTTCTGCCTCATTTACACACACTTGCAGGGTCTCAATTGTTTCTATTACAACTGACAACAGAATATATATATATATATATATATATATATATATATATATATATATATATATATATATATATATATATATATTTCTCACTTTTGATCTCTTTCATTTTTGTGTTTCTTTATGGTTCTTTATTATTATTATTATAATTATTATTAATTTTTGGTATTTTAAATTATATTTACAGAATTATGAATTATTATTATTATTATTATTATTATTATTATTATTATTATTATTATTATTATTATTATTATTAACATTATTATTATTATTATTATTATTATTATAATTATTATTATAATTATTTTATTATTATTATTATTATTATTATTAATATTACTACATTTTCGCCTAACAGGCTCCGATGTGGGTCAGTGACCTGTGCCCGAGTGGGCTAAATCCCATAAAAAGACAAAAATAATAGTTAGGGCACTTCAACACACAGGGTCATTAAATCCCGTTCATTAACTTTTAGCTTTTTTTTCTTACATTAGTCAACAATATTTGAAACTTATGAAGATTATTAATTTTGTTGAACGAAGGAAGAGAGAGAAAAAAATCACTCTAAAACTGTTTAAGAATTACGACCTTGTATTTTTAGGCCACATACAGTATAGCAGCAGGTAATTGAATTTACAGTGAACATTTATGATAACAGGAAAAACTGTGTTAAGATCGTTTGCTTTTTATGTTTCGGGATGTTAATTACTCATATAATTCAGCTTTGAGCGCATGCAGAGGTCTTATTACAACTATATCTTGCGCTAGTCAGGCCGCACCTCGATTATGCGGTTCAGTTCTGGTGCCCCTATTGTAGAATGGATTTAAATTCACTAGAGTCGGTGCAGCGAAGAATGACAAAAATGATTCCGGGACTTAGAAGCCTTCCATATCAGGATAGGTTAAAGAAACTTAACTTGCATTCCCTAGAAAGACGAAGAGTGCGGGGAGATATGATAGAAGTATTGAAGTGGGTGAAAGGAATCAATAAAGGGGATAAAGATAAAGTTCTTATAATATCCGAGCAGGATAGGACTCGGAGCAACGGATTCAAGTTGGATAAGTTTAGGTTTAGGAGGGAGATAGGAAGAAACTGGCTCACAAATAGGGTGGTGGACGAGTGGAACAAGCTTAGCAACTTTTTAGTAAGTGCTGGAACGCTGGAAAGTTTCAAAAGGAGGCTCGATAGATTCATGGATGATAGAGAGTGTTAGTAACTCTCGACAGGAGCTACCATGCACAGGCCAACCGGCCTATTGCAGACTCCTTATTTTCTTATGTTTTCTTATGTTGAAACCTAAACTTATCCAACTTGAATCCGTTGTTCCGAGTCCTATCCTGCTCGGATATTATAAGAACTTTATCTATATCACCTTTATTGATTCCTTTCACCCACTTGAATACTTCTATCATATCTCCCCGCACTCTTCGTCTTTCTAGGGAATGCAAGTTTAGTTTCTTTAACCTATCCTGATATGGAAGGTTTCTAAGTCCCGGAATCATTTTCGTCATTCTTCGCTGCACCGACTCTAGTGAATTGATATCCATTCTATAATAAGGGCACCAGAACTGAACCGCATAATCGAGGTGCGGCCTAACTAGCGCAAGATATAGTTGCACTAAGACCTCTGCACTCTCATTACTTACACTTCTAGATATAAAACCCAATACTCTGTTTGCCTTATTTCGAACATTAACGCACTGTTTTCTAGGCCTTAGGTCCGGGCTTACTAGTACCCCTAGGTCTCTTTCACAAGTCGACTTCTCTAGGTTGATGTTGTTAAGGCTGTATACATTGACAGTATTTGTTTTTCCAATATTAAGTACGATGCACTTGCTGGTTTTGAATTTCATTTGCCATTTTTCAGACCACCCCTGCAGTTTATTTAGATCCTCCTGTAATGCCTTTGCATCCTACCCTGAATTAATCTGCCGCCCTATTTTGGTGTCATCCGCAAACTTGCTTATGTCACTGCTGATCCCAGTATCTAGATCGTTTATGTAGATTATGAACAAGAGTGGGCCTAGATACTGACCCCTGGGCAACCCCACTGATTACACGGCCCCACTCAGATTTAACA